CTAGCATCACCAGTCTGGGGCAAAACCCCGAGGTATTTGTCTGGACTGTTGAAGAAGGACCCGAAGAATCCCTCTTGGGGGTCCAAGGCAGGGTAACGGGGCTGCATGCCTGGGCACTTGTGGAAGTGGCTGGAGGAAAGATGCTGCGGTGGTATCAGTGTAGGAAAAGGGCTCCAAGAAGGGCTTTGCAGGCGCCACAGGAGATGAAGTTGGTGATGAGGGGCCCTTGGTAGGAACAAATGAAAGCTAGAAGCTTCCTAGATCATACAAGAAGGAAGGAAAGGGGAAAAGTTTGTCTTTTTATTTTTTTTGCCTAAAACTTTCTGCTTTGCTCTATTATGTAACTTCCAAATGAGACTGATTCACAAATCTCTTCCTCTTGGTTTTTCTGTTTTTTACTATTCTGTCATTCCTGGCACTTCTTCAGGAGACCGTGTCAAAGCAGCGGCTTGGCACACGCTTTCCAGCGTGAGAAACGCTGCTCTGCGCTGTGCTTTGGGAACTGGGCTCTCCTGCCCCAAAACCCGGGGGCTTTAAAACCAGCCCCTCGGTGCCAGCAGGCGGGAGCAAGGGATGAGGTGGGGGAACATGGGACCAGGCCTGCAGAGAGCCTCCAGAGTGTGAAGGAGGAATTGGTTTGGGCTCTTCTAACTGGCAGTGCTAAAATTCACCCCCAGACTGGGTGGGTTTTGAAAAATCTGGGCAGAAAGCTTAACTCTCCTTGAAACTACAGCCGGGCTAATCTTCCCGCGAACGTTTCCTTCCCCCAGGCTGCGTGTGCGGCCCGTGGGAAGCGCGATGGCGAGCGCACGGGAAGATTCACCTGGAGCTTTGCAGCAGTTGATTTGTGCGAGGTCTGCCCATCCCCAGCCACGCCGTGACCACGGGACCCCCGCGGAAGGAACCCTGGCAGGAGGCGTTTGCTCTTTCCTTGCACGATCGCAAAGACACTGGGCGTGCGCTGCCCTCCCGCCGTCTCGCTGCAGGCGTAGGGGAGACACGGGGCGAAATGGGATCCCACCCGTCTGAGCAGATCGGTCTCTTTTCAGACAAAACCGGCACCGTAAGCGTAAAGCCTGCAAACCCTTCGCCGCGTTCTGTTCCTGAAGTGCCCCGCGCAGTGGTTGTGCTTGCGGGGACTCTTACGCTTTGCTTTAAAACAAAGAATAAGCTAGACCAGGTCTGTCCCATGCACAGGTACAAAATATGTATTTTTAGTTGTGATCGGTTTTAATGTTCCAAGAGATTGATCAAAAACTACTCCTGCAAGAGTTGGCTGACTCCCATAGCTCCTTCTCCCATCAGAGTGTTTCTCCCTTTCAGCGATCTCCTCCCAGCATCCCGGATCCAGTCGCCGTTCCCCACCGCTCTGCCCGGCCTTTTTTCAGGCTGGGGCTGGGAAGCCGCGGTTCCTCAGAAACCCCTCGGGCTTTCTGTGGAATTTCTGGCCCGCCGGGTTATCGCAGCCCGTTCCACTCGGTGTTTGCACAGCCAGCCTAGCAACGCCAGCCTGCTGCCGTGGCAATGGCCGCAAACACGCATGCTGGCAGGACAGGCTGGGGAG